GAGGGGCACCCTGGAGACTGGGGAGGAGGATGGAGAGGTACAACCCATGCAAAGCATCACCTTTCCAGCAGCTAGTCTGCCTTTGGAGGGCTGTTGGTAGCCACGTTGGGGTGGTTGAACCTCCTGGAGCTAGCGTGGTCTTTCTGATGCGTTGGTTGTGCCGGTGCAGGCGGTGAACCCCTCCTTCCCCAACCCGCGGCGGGGGCGGCGGGGGCGGGGGCCGGGCCGGGGGGGAAACATCGATGCCTCGCAGAACGAGCAGGAGCTCAACAAGCTGCTCAACGAAGCCTTGCTGGAGCGCGAGTCCATCCAGGCGTGAGTCAACCTGTTCCAGCACAGCTCGGTATGTCCGCGGTGCCGCCGGCTGCTGATGGGCAGTGTCACTGGCAGGTTGAAGGGGAGGAGCACCTTCCGGCTCTCCATGCGCTTCATCGACCCCGAGATGGAGACACGCTACTCGGTGGAGAAGGAGAAGCAGAGTGGGGCTGCCTTCAGCTGCTCCTGCGTCATCCTCTTCTTCACCGCCTTGGTGGAGGTCTTCATTGACCCCTGGTATGTCACCCCACCTTGGGGACAAGTGGCCCCAAGCCATGCTTGACCCCACCGGGCCTCAAACCCATCCCCTTTTGGCCTTTTTGGCAGGTTGGTGGCCAACTATGTGACCTTCGTTGTGGGGGAGATCCTGCTGCTCATCCTCACCCTCTGCTCGTTGGCTGCCATCTTCCCCCGGGTAAGAAAAAGGCGGGCTCCTCACTCATGGTGTCCCATCACAGTGTCCTTGCCTGGGCGAACCCCTCCCCACCTTCCTTCTCCTTGCAGGTCTTCCCCAAAAAGCTCGTGGCCTTCTCCACCTGGATCGATAGGACCCGTTGGGCGCGCAACACCTGGGCCATGGCCGCCATTGTCATCGTCACCACGGCTGATATCGTGGACATGGTGAGCCACCAGCCTGGGCACCAGTGGGGCTGAGCCCGCTCCATCCTGCATCCAAGCAGCCCATAATTGTACATGGCCGATCATTAAAGCAATTAGCAAGGCTGCTCCATGGATGGGGGGGTTTTAGGTCTTCCTCCCGCTCTGCGAAGCACCCTGTCCTTCTGGGTGGCCATGCAGCCTATGGAGAGGGGCACCTTGTCCCCGTGTCCCCCTCCTCACCCTGTCCTTGTGACCCCAGCTCAGCTGCTGGCGGGACCACGGCAGGATGGGCAACGGGACGGCGGGACCACCACGGCCAGGCGGCTGCGGGGAGCAGCCCAAGTACTACAGCTACATCGCCCTCCTGGCCTTGGTGGCCACCATCATGCTGGTGCAGGTCAGCCACATGGTCAAGCTGACCCTCATGGTGCTCATCACTGGGGCCACCGGCACCGTCAACATCTACGCCTGGGAGCACATCTTTGACCAGTATGACCGCCGCCGCGGCCAGCAAAACCAGTAAGGAGTGGTGGGGGGCTGGACACGGGGTTGAGGGGCATGACCCACCCACGCTTCACCATCTCTTCTGGCAGGTCCTTGCTGGTCCCCTCCAAGTACTCCATGACGGCGATGATCTTCATCGTGATGCTCAGCTTCTACTACTTCTCTCGCCACGTGAGTGACTTGACCCCCCAACGCCAGGGAAGCTCCCCTCCCCTCTGCATCTTCACCATCAGCCTCTGCCCCTATTTTTTGCAAGCTCCAAGGCAGCAGGATTTGTCCCCAGCTGTGATGAGTGTCATCAGCTCTTCTCCAAGGAAGCCCACCCAAGGAAGTCCTTGCAGAGAATACCTCCATCTTACCCCCATGGTTAGGGGTGGGCAATAACCTGGTGGTCCCAAGGCCCGTGCTTGCCCTGCAAGTGTCCCATTTGTACCTCGGAGCAAGTCTCATGTCCCCAGTTGGGGCTTCACCTTGTCCCAGAGCCTCTCTCCAGGCTGTCCCCAAGCCCAGATTGACCCCACAAGGGCCAGGATGCTCCCAGCGCTGGAGGGGACCCACTGGTGGGTGGGAACTGGGGGTGCAGCCGTGTCCCCCCACCCACAGGTGGAGAAGCTGGCCAGGACCCTCTTCCTTTGGAAGATCGACGTCCATGACCAGAAGGAGCGGGTCTACGAGATGCGGCGCTGGAACGAGGCCCTCGTCACCAACATGCTGCCCGAGCATGTGGCCCGGCACTTCCTGGGCTCCAAGAAGCGGGATGAGGTGAGGGACACCCAGGAGGGGGGGATTTGCCCCCATTTTTTTATCTAGGGGTCCTCTCTGGATCTGGAGGCTTTGCTGAAGGCTCTGGCTGAACATCTTTGGCTGGATGAAGATGTCTTGGCCATGCCAGGCGAGGTTGTAGAGCACTTTAATTTTTTTTCATAAGGGAGGATCCTTCATGGGAGGGTTTGGGTTTGCTGGAGGTGCTGGTGTCACACAGGGGCCCCTACCCAGCTCACAGCCACTGTCCCATCCCATCTCCAGGAGCTGTACAGCCAGTCCTACGACGAGATCGGTGTCATGTTCGCCTCCCTCCCCAACTTCGCTGACTTCTACACGGAGGAGAGCATCAACAATGGGGGCATCGAGTGCCTGCGGTTCCTCAACGAGATCATCTCCGACTTCGACGCGGTGAGTCGGGATGGAGCCGGGATGGGGCTTGGCCAGACCTTCCCTTCCTGCCCCATCTTGGGGCAGAAGGACCTGCCATGGCCCCGGGGTGCCTGAGGGTCTTGTCCCTGTGGCTCAGCTCCTGGACGAACCCCAATTCCGGTGCATCACCAAGATCAAAACCATCGGCAGCACCTACATGGCCGCTTCTGGAGTGACCCCTGATGCCAATGCCAATGGCTACGGTGCCAAGGTGAGGTGTCCCCACAGTGGTGGGGTGGTGGGCGAGGGGTGAGTGGGTTTGACGCATGCTGCCCTTGCAGAAGGAGACCCTCTCGGATAAGGAGCGCTGGCAGCACTTGGCCGACCTGGCCGACTTTGCCTTAGCCATGAAGGTGACGCTGATGAACATCAACTACCAGTCCTTCAACAACTTCATGCTCCGCATAGGCAAGTCCGGGAGCGTGGGCAGGGTCTGCCTTGGTGTCCCCTGTCCCTCCTTCCCCACCAGTGGGACACTGGGCAGCAGCTATAGGCAATGGGACTGGTGGGGGGAACATTACCACCCCAGCCCACCCCCGGGACAGACTCTCCTCCAGACCGGGATGTCCCATCCGTGTCACCAGGCATGGAGGTGACATCCACTCCGTGTCTTGCCCAGGCATGAACAAGGGGGCTGTGCTGGCGGGCGTCATCGGCGCTCGCAAGCCGCACTACGACATCTGGGGCAACACGGTGAACGTGGCCAGCA